GGGGGAAGTGGGGAGGAGGGAATTGAGGGGGATTGTGCAGGAAAACTTTCTTAAAAGTGTCTTATTCAGAAAGACACTGTTTGCAAAATAAGATTTCCTTAATGGATATGCAAGGGTCATTCCATCTGCAGGAGGCTTTGCTATCTAAGATGTAAAACATTTAAGATTGCCTAACTTTATCACAACACTGGCTACTACCTTTAACCATCTAGGCAAGTATAAAGATTATATTTCTAAGGAAAGTTAAGTCCTGCTCTGCCATTACTTAATTTTTAAAAATACAGCTAATGGTAATAGGCTTAAGTAGATTGACATCAGAGAAGAGCTTCCATCATGTAACTATTTGCAACTCAGCAGAGCACAGGCCAACACCCATTAGGATAAGACTACTTCCTGCCACAAAAAAAAAAAAGGTGTGAAAAGTTGTAACAGGTTAAACCAAACAGGACCTGAAGCATGCTCCGTCTGCATGAGAGGTGTCAGTCTATAATAAAAAAAGGTAAAAACTGCACAGAACCACAAGATTCTACAAAGTCCTAAAAGCTGCCCTCCCAAAAAAAGAAAAAAACACCACCACTCTTTGCCAGGTGCAGGAAAGAGTATACCAATGAGCTGGTGTTCAGAAGCCCTGGAGAAGCAAGCAATAATTCTGTACATTTAGCAACAATCACTATTCACACAATTTTAAAGTATGTGTAAGTAAAGTATCACATGGAATGTGTTACAATACTCTATTACCATAATTTAAAAGTAAAATAGTCTTGCTAAATAGCAACTTATTTTGTGAAAGACAAGTAGAAGTTAGGAATTTCTCATAAACCATGAGTTATGTTACTAGCAAACACCGACTCATGTATTCCTTATAACCCCCTCAAAAAAAGCCAGGAGGCAGCAGTCAGGACAGACTATCACACTACAGAGGTTTTTCTGACTTGAGCATTCACTGTAAATTGTCAGGAATACCCTAAATTCTGAAGACCTTCACCACAATGTTACAAGTGCGAACAGGCTGGGATTTTCTTGCACTAGTAATAAAGAATACATTTCAGGTGCATGTATGTTCTAAACTTATTACTAATCTTTAGGCAAACAGAAACATAAGCTTTGACATCTCACCCCATCTGTTAATGCTTAAACACAAAAACTGCACACCAAACAGGGGAACTTGGCGACTTTGAAATCCCGCTTTGATTCAGAAAGACCTGCTTTCAGTTCAGAGGGGCAGCAGCTTCTGCGACTGGCACTAGAAGATAACACGACAGCTTTCACAGCTCCTGTGTTCAGACTACGCCCCTAAGTGGGCTCTGTTGTCATCTCCCATGCTTTCTCCAGAATGAGATATTTTTCTTGGTCAAGTCCCTTGAGGTTTAGGTGCTCAATTTCCTTACTTTTACTGAGGAAGCACATATCCAAATCGAGTGCAATAACACTTTGCAAGGACAGCTTGCAAAACTTTTGCTATATACCACCACTTAAAGACAAACAAACAAAACAGCAATAACCAAAAAACCCCCAAACAAACAAACAAAAAACCCAACCACATACCATGGCTTTTAGATTCCTGACCCCCAGGTCAGGAATCAGTCCTAGCACTAAAGAGTCCAATTGTAGAGACAAGCTAGTAATGTTATCAACTATTGCCAAATTCTCCCTGCTGTCCTGTAGATCACTGGTCTCCAAACTTTTTTGATCATGCATCCCTACCACTAAAAAAAATTTTGAGCACACATTACCATGTGTATTTGTTCATTTAAAAATTATATACATGTACTACTGAAATTCTAGTATTTTCCTCCTGCAGCCCAGTGGATCATGTTGTGAGTCCCCTAGGGTGCATGCATCCCACTTCAGAGACCAGTGCAGTAGATTATTAGCATTTAGGAGTATGGACCAGGTCTTCCCATGGCTGATATGAAGTGATTTACAGAACTGAACATCTCCTAAATGTATTTGCATGGACAGAATTCTAGCAGGAGCTATGGAAAAGATTCATGGAGAAGAAAAACTCACTCTGCTGCTGTGAAAATCTGGCTGGAGTTGGTGCAGATTGCATTTATAGGGCTGTCATGTCCCTTCATTTCCCCAATGGGTGCAAAGGTATCCACGTTCCAGAGCTTGAGGGTGCCTCCTCTGCAGCCACTGAGCAGAACTGGAGCTCCAGGTACCAGGCCGAGAGCACACACCCAGTCTTTATGAGCATTAGGAACTTGCTGAAAAAGAAAAGGCAGGCAAATCTCACGGGGCTGCAAAAACTTCTAGAGGAACAAGTGTAGAAATGGAAAAATCCCAAGTTCTAAGCCTGATTCCTGTCCTGCAGTAGATTTACTACATGATGCTGAGTATATCCAACCCTGTGGCTTCTCCTCCTTTAAAGCAAGGAGGCTGCTGTCTTCCATGGGGCTACTTCTATACTGTGAGTCTGTTTCTTTGATAGTACTGCTGCAAAACAAGAAGAAAACCCAACATGCACAAGTGACTTAATGTGGAACAGAAACTGATTTAGGATAACACTAAATCTGCATATGTTCAAATGCATATTTGAACATATGGTCTCTGTATATGTTTCAAGTCAATCTCCGAAACAGTTATAAAACACATAAAAAGAAAATCCAAAATAGTGCTTAAAAAATGTACCAGAAAGACAAAAACTGTTTCTATATTTGCTTTCCTCTTTTCTCCTTTTCCCATTACACATTACAAATTGATTTTGTGATGTAGCGCCTCACAAAAATACATTAATTCTTTATTCAGGAAAAAAATATCTATTTGATACCAAAACCCCATGTACTCAGAGCTAAAAGAGGGCTATCCACTTCATCAGAATTTCCTGATGCTAAATACACTGAAAAGAAAAGCAACTGCATTGCTAATGTAAAGATCAAGTACATTATTGATTTCTTTCTTAGTCAGTGCTCTGCGCTTTCCCTATTAAAAATATCAATATTTAAGTGAATTGTCATTGTATGGGCCTGAACACTTACACAACCTGAAAACAGTTCTACAGCCTGACTGCCACATCAGCCATGCGATTTTTTTTTTTTCCATTACCTGAAGAAGGTCTTTTTGAGCCAAATCCCATTTCTTAATTCCATTATCTCTGGATCCACTAAAAAGGTTGTCTCCCATAATAGCAAGTGCTTCAATGCCATCATAATGAGGAGGTTCAAAATTGTGTGTAGGACTTACACTTCCAAGAGCCCCTTCAGTCACATCGAACATCTAAAATAAATAAATTATCAAATATGTTAAGCAAAGTTATCTGCCATCTAAACAGCTTGGAAGACATTGCAGTGAATAACTTCAGGATAAAATCTTGGAAAGTCTTACAGGCCATTGTATCATGATGTATATTTGACAGAATTTATCTACCAGAGCAACTCCTTTCTCCCCTTCTACCTCTTGCCCGAAGCTTTTTTTTCACTGACTTCAGCGGAGACTGCTCTAGGAAGAAATGCTCCTACTTGGGTACAAAATACACAGTATCTTCACAGGGAAGAGCTTCTATGTACACCATGTGGTGGGCTAGAGAAACAAAGTTCCTGAGTATGGGAAACTCGACTCGCACGGGGAGAACTGTACAGACAGCTGCAGGAAGAGGCATTAATATATTATTCTGGACAAGGTGTTTTATCAAGATTACATACCATTACATGCTGATGCTTTCCATGGACTAGACATACCTCTCCTTGCCTGGGCTTCAAGAATGAGGTCTTAAAACAGATTCATTAAGTGAGGCCATTTTAACAATTTAAGGCATAATGAACCTCATCAGCTTTTTGTCCCTAGAGCAGCAGTGTAAGCAACCCTGTTTCATTTTGCATTGCAGCGAGCCAAAACTCACTCAGTTAAGACTGAGCTGAGGAGGAACAGATGAGACGCAACTTTTTAAACCCCTACCTCTGCTCACAAGCAAATGTCAGGCTTCATCCCCTATTATTTGCTCTTCATTGACCTTTTAAAATTAATAAGCTTGGCAGTAAAAAATGGACAGCTTTGTAGTGTAAAATAATACCCTAAGTGAGTTAAAGGTATTTTAAAAGTTACTGCATTCAATTAACATGCATCAGTTCCAGTTGTCACAAAAAAGTTCAATGATACACAAGAAAAAAATAGGCCCTTAGAGGTGACTAATCTTCCTGGCTGAGCAGACAAGACAGTAGTTTCCTGTGGCAGTGGAAAGCAGTATCTGTGACCAGACCTACTACCCCCAGTGAACCTAACTATGTGGAGAAGCACTAAGAATTCAATTCCCAAACTGCTGCACTGACCATACACCCACCGACCACGTGTACTATCCAAAGCAGCTTGACAATTATGGACACAATCACCTCGCAGAACACCCACTACTCTGCAGCACATACACACAGCCAAAATATTCCTGGATATTCTAGTGGTGTAAGTCAAGAAGCAGGCGGCCTCATAAGGATTTAAGTAGCCTGCCCACAACAAGGGAGCACAAAAGAATGGCAAATAAACTTCTCTGACTGTTGACAGCCCTATTTTCTAAAAGCCCTTCCACCTCCTTGCTTGTCACATGAGTTGGTAGCATGACAAACCTGCATTAGATGATCGCATCCTGTTGTCCCCACTGAGGTGCAAGGATGGTAGCTCTTAACTAACCCAATATTTAGAGATGTAATTATTAGAGTGCCTCTCTGTCGCCCTATTGCCTAAGAATCCTCTGGCCTCTAACCACAGGGACTGCTGATGGGATTCAAATCCACGGCCCACACCATCAAGCGATCCACCCACCTCCCAGGCAGTCTTCTGAGGATGGCTCAGCACACAGACAAGTGTCCAAGAATTCCAGGATAATGTCAAAAAGAGAAAGCCCAGCTTAGTGAGCAAGCCCACTCAGATTCTGGCTCCTGCCCCACCTCCAGATGTGTTTAGACACTTTTTCCAGTGTGTGAGAAGTATAATGATCAGAACAAAGGGTACTTCTTCACAATCAGCTAGACTATCTTGCTCATTCTCTCTTTGGCCTCATAAATCACACATTCTTTGCAGGGTCAGCTTTATGGGGAACACTATGTATAATTCCCATAGCCTGGTGGTTTGGGCATACTCCTGAGAAACAAAAGCTTGCGGATTCAAATACCCCGTGGCTGAGGTGGGCCCAAAAAAAAGAAAAAGAAAAAAAAAAAAACAAACAAAAAAAAAACAAAACAAACAAAACAAAAAAATAAAAACAGACCCCCTCCTCCCCCAGAAAACCAGACTCCCTATCCTTGAATGAATTAATCACAATGCCAAGAGACAGGAAAGTACTGGAACACCTCTGACTATGCTTTGAACACAACTCGGAGGAGCAACCCAAGTGGTAATGAATGCTCCAAATAGACTTGGGCACCTTGGCTGAGATGGGCTGATATTTCTCTCCTTCCACACTCCAGAACTCAGGTAACACTTAAGCAAGAGCCTGGGCTAGACCCCAGACTCTTCTGTGGGATGCACACAGAGTGTGTCTACTGAGGCAATTAGGTCCGCACTCCAAACCAGAGGCATTTACTTAATTTCTCCAAGACTTCATACACCTGATGTCCACCTTACTGGGGATTAAGAAAAAGTTTAACTACAGACAACCAGCCAAATAAAAATAGCACTAAAATAATAAGCATTTATTAAGACTGAACTTTATTCATAATCTATAACTGATGAAAGAATTTCCATCTTGGCTATCACTTTTCAAATACAGAGATGTGAGTCACTTCTGCTGGAGTCTGTATCTCAAGTTGATATGAAGAATTAAAATAAGCAAATACTAATGGTTTACCTTTATATAATGATCCTTTGAACCAGTGATAATAAGATCTTGTCCGTTGGAAATTCGATCTACAGTAAGGCACATAACAGGACCCTGGTGACCAGTTAGCTTTCCTGTAGACTGAAATCTTCAGGAATAAGAGAAGAAATGAAGATTTGTTATGTTTTTAATATATCCAGTACAATCTATAGCACAGTTTCTGCCAGAAGGGTTCTTTTTATTTTCCCCATGTCTTTACTATTCATCCCCTGGTTACATATACTATATTGCTCATATCCATATGTAAGTTTTAAATCTATGTTAAATGTAAACAAAAGCACGTAAACAAGAACTTCTATTTATGTAAAATAAGAATTTAAAAAAAAATTAAAGACAAATCAGACCCCTTGAAGTATTATCTGTACTTTGAACACACTCTTCGGGTATGGGTTCTGTTTGGAAAGTACTATTATAGTGTGGCTATCATAGCCCCATATTATACTACATTACATTACGCCAGTTAGCTTTCGTCATCTCATGAACATTTACTAGTCAGGATTCATGCATCTGTCACCTTACAACAGTCTGTTTTATAGTGTCTATCTTAAACAACACCTTGTGTTTTTCCTTTCAGTGTGTTTTGTCCTTTTTGTCTCTTGTGTTTGTCCTTTTAATACTTAAAGGGAGCTTGTAAGAAAGATGGGGACAGACTTTTAAGTAGGGTCTGTAGTGAAATTAAAAGAAGGTAGATTCTGACTAGATATATGGAAGAAATTTTTCACAGTGAGGGTGGTGAAGCACAGGAACAGGTTGCCCAGACTGGTGGTAGATGTCCCATCCCTGGAAACATTCAAGGTATGGAATGGGTTGGACAGGGCCCTGAGCAACCTAATCTAGTTGCAGATGTCCCTGCTCATTGCAGGAGGGTTGGACTAGGTGACCTTTAAAGGTCCTTTCCAATCCAAACTATTCTATGATTTTTTTCCAATCACTTTTATTGAAACAATTCACCATAACCTTTACACACAAGGAAACCATGAGCACCTCCATTATCTCAGTAACCACCATGGCATGAACTAGTTGATGCATATCTTGACCATATTTTGCCCAGGTTATGGACATTATCATAAACAGGAAACACTTCATTGACTTTGTTTCATATACACATTTAACCACCTAAAGAACATTCTCTTCTGCTGGTGTTCAGTACCTTTTCAGGTCCCACATCCTCACTGAGTTTCCAGCAGCTGCATAGAGGAATGTGCCAGTTGGATTGAGTGCAATCTGATTGATCTGGTTTTCTCCAGCTGGGATAGTGACTGTTCTATTAGTACTTCCTGAACACACATCACCAGGCATCGCCTGGCCCGAAGACCTGCGTACAGGTAGGAAGGAGGAGAAAAAAGCAAACAGCTCCCTTATTATATATTCATAATAAGCCAATTATGAATACTCAACATTTGGTAAAACACTACAGGCATTAATGCAAATTTTGTGTTTCCATATATTACCAACGCCCTACACTGTAAATCAGCCTGAACACCTAAAGAAAGCCTCCAGCCCCAAGTAGTGTACTTAAATTACACTGTGCTGCACTACTGAATTATTATTTTTTTTTAATCTAAAAGGAAGATTCATTTAAACTCTTGGCATTCAAGGTTTAACATACTTACGTCAATGTTCGAACACACTTAGCAGAATCTCTGATGTCCCACACCTTGATATAGGAGGTCGAGACTGTGAAGACCAGGCTAGTATAGTTGCAATATTTTATAGAAACAACATTATTTGGATGACCCCCCAGAGACATAATCTCTTGTCCAGTTACCAGATTCCAGACTTTACATGTACGATCTAAATAAAGACAAACAAAAAGGGGAAAAAAAAATTAAACAAACAAAAAATAAACCAAAGAAACACCACAGAAAACATGTTCTTCCAAAACTCAATTAATTTTAAGAAACTTCATACACTCATTTGCACTCATACATAACCCTCCATTTTGGTAGGCACTTTTAAAAGACGTATTTAATTAATCTGTTTTTGTAGAGTACATGTGGGCATTGTCTACCATCATCAAAACTATGCAAGGTTAACGATTAAGTGTCATGTTGGAGATGTGCATATTAGCTCCCAAAGCATTTTAAAAGGATAAAATCCCATGTCAGCCTCAAATGTCAAACAGATACTTTGAGGGCTGTGAAGTTTGGATGATGACAGATCAAGAGGACTATTCAATTTTTAATTCAAAAACTCTTCATGAAGAACATAGATCAGGAGGGGCTTTGAGCCTCAGTGTGACAGAGGACTGACTGCCACAACAAAATTACAAAGGTGAGAAGTAATCCAAACTTTTTGGTGCTTTAGGAGCCTCTGAAAATCCCAGCGTAAGTGCTTTAGTCACAGTTTTCACTCAGTAGCAAAGGAATTTAAATACTGCAACCTTTTGCATCCTAAAGGCCCAGATGCCTGGAAGTTTCCAAGACTCTCACAACAACAGAGTCCACATAGGAAACTCCCCTTGTTGTACCATGTCTGTATCACTCCATGTACTTTAGAAGTACATTTTTACTGGAATAAGTACGGAGAGGATGAAGAGAAAGCTTCATGTGAAGGCAGTGTTCACAAGAGTACGAAAAAGGTAAGTATACCAGGAACTTGTCAGCCACTTTAAAAGTCCCAACTATCAAGACCAGAGCCCAATATCTGCAATGCCCCTGAGAGCTTCCTGGCATTCCTAAACTGGCACTGTGTGCTAGTGTTCTGGCTGTCAGTGAGCTGAGGCTTTCTGCTTCAGCAACAATTTCCAAAAGATTTAATTTTAATTAAACTGCTGTCTACACTCTTGTACTCCTGAGTACAAGTATACTTTGTAAAGTTTCCTCTTGAAAAATATATACAGGAAAAATTCTTCTTTACATAGGGGAAACTAGCATAGAGCAAATATTTACAACATCTGCAAGTGCTCCTATGGTAAAAACAAACAAACCCCTTAAAACACAAATCTCCATATAAAATAAAAAATAAAGACTTTTTTTCCCCCCCACTAAATTTGAAATCTCAATACAAATTAACTAATCAATATTTACAGAAGCTAAAAATACATCCTTTTTTGCATTTGTAGCCACTTGCAAAAATGCTAAAACCTTGACTTAAACCTCTTTAGACCAAAAGTTTGCCAATTCTCTGTAAGAACCTGTCTTTACTATTTTTAATAGCCAGGTAGTAGAACAGCCACAGAAACTGCACCTTTCTTCCAAAACACTATTTCTAGCAGCTTAGAGAGTTCATAGAGTGGCTGCACCATACAGGAGGGATTTAGTGACTACTAGATCTAGCCCCTCTCACAACAGCCATACAACTCTTATACCCCCAAGCCACAGGACAAGGTACACAGGGGAAGCAGAAAATGGCCCTAGCTCTGCTCAAAGAATCAGCTAGGGCAGGAAGAATCTACTCAGGTAGCACAGCCTGGTACCAGAGTAATCTAGGTAGCACAGCCAAAGATGCAATGATTTCCACCTCTACCCCTGCCCTGAGCCTATTACTTTGCATTGCCTGCATCACGTGTGCGCACGTCACCATGACTGGTTCCACCATATCACTCAACAAATGTTAATGTTATTCTTGAGAGTTACTTTTTCCACCACAAATAAATAGCCAAATACTACCCATTGGAATAAAAAAAACCCGGAGCAGAGGTAAATCTTTCTTCACCTTATGCTGCAAGATGGATCCTCACAATTTTCCAGCGTGTTTACAGCACTAAGCACAAACTGAGAATTTCATAATACCTCAGGTTGTCAAAGCAGCCTCGATAGGCAGCACAGGTGAACAAAGCTTGCCTAACCTTTAGATCCAGTGAAGAGAAGATCATCTGTTGCATCAACACAAAGCACAGCCTTAGTATGTCCTTCAGCTGTATAAATACACTGAAGCAGAGACGATCTAATGCATTTTGAAGCAGGGAATGGGTTAATTATCCCCCTAAAGAAAAAAGAGATTATGTGAGTTGTGTATAGTAATAGACACAAATCAAATTAATTTACTTAAATGTAGGGGAAAAATTAATCTAATTTTCCTACATGGGCAGAAGAGCTCAATGCTTGCATAAACTATGTAAGGATTTTTACTGTTTAGTTCAACAACTGTCAGCTCTGGACTATCAGTTAAAGGAAATCACATACGAAAACAAACAAATGAAAGAGACAAGATGCTGAGTATTGGGTATATGGGAAAGTCTGCGTGATGCTGAAAGAACCAGGATGATGAAAGCTTCTGGATTCATAGGACCAACCTCAAAACTGCAAATTGCATAAAGACATCTTAGTCTAAATAGCATTTCTGAAAAATAGAGCAAGTAGTAGTACACTGCCAGTCCCAAACTCAGCAGGCATCTCACATCAACTGCCTTCCACAAGCAGGCTTGTAGAACTGCTGCTAGCTTGTGTGCCTGAGTAAGGTTCCTACTGCACCCAATGCCACACTTGCACTCAAACAACTAAAAGGGAGTATGTTTGGAGTACAGATACCCCAGAGGAATCTTCTTGGGGATTTCTAGCTAGTTCTGTGGTGATACCAAAAGATTAACTCAGCCTGGGAAGAAAAATAATAGTAATAATAACAAAAACACAGTTCTTCACTAAACAAAAAATATTAGCAGTCTAAAATCCCATGCATACAACTGCACACACACAGACCCCACTGATTTCTGTCAAGTGTAGAAAAGCCTCAGGGTAATGCTCACAAACGTGCCACACAATGCTGTGACCTGACCAGCTTGCAGCTAAGACTTTTTGCCATGCTCTTCTGGGGATTATACATGTAACTGAGAATAAGGAACTAAGCCACAGCAAGATCTCAAAAAAAAAAAAAAAAAAAAAGTGTCAGATGCTGTAGGAAAACTTAAAATTCCATAGTATTGGCCAGAAGTTTCCTACAGGAAGGAAAAATTCCTTCCTGATACTATTTAACTTTGTGACAACAGGCTCATTTATCTAGTACAGTCTTAGAAATTATTTTATATATTTTTACTGCTCAAGACACCTTCATTCATATAATTCATTACTCTTCCATAATCCTTTTATAGATGTTACTAATATTAATACGGCCTTAAATTGTTTGATATTAACTTCCTCATTTTGGAAAGGCATTCACCTTTCAATCTGAACTTTTTTATGTTTTCAGGAATATAGGAACCAATTTACTTTATTATTAATTTAGGTCTCTATGCTGTGGATTTCTAATACTACACGAAACTAATATGGTTTTCTCTGTGGTATTCTCCAGTGGATCGTGCTGCCTCTAGACTAAGTTATTCCTATTACTGTTCTCACCCACTCATCCCCTTGACAAGCCATGTGAAATACATGTCCCGGAGCTATTTACCTACCGACATGCAGTGCTCTGAAATCTACAGACAAAAAATGCTATGACTGCTACAGTGACTCGACAAAGCCACCATCCTCTTATTACTAGCCCTTTGACTGCTCTTCTCTTGATAAACTCATTTTTCACTGAGTACCAAAGTCCTAAGCCACATCTTAGGAACGTGAGTGGGGGCATTCCTTTCATCTCTTTAGCCACTGTGCGTCCTGTCAGAAAGACATAATGAAATAGCTAGTAATTTCTATTTACACTAGGATTTAATTTGCAGTGCCCAAAGCACATAACTGAACAAGGAAAAAAACCAAAGAAATAGAGAATCACATAAAACCCAAGGAAATGTCTTCTCTTTCTTTAGAGAAAATAGAGAAAGAATATGTTTAAGGAAAGGTTTATACCATACTTCATTTAAAAAGAAAAAACCCGACATGCTCAACAACAATAAAGAACACCCTAAAAAAGGAGAGGGGTAGACATGCTTGACCAAAATTTCAGCTTTTTAAACTTCTGGCAAAAGCAAAAGAGATACAGTGCACAAGTATCAGGAAAATTCATGCAGCAAAATGAAATTTCCTAAGAAGTGGAATAAGTTCAGTGAGAGATGCCAAGAAAACAGAAAAGAGAAAGAGAGAGTACCTGTGTACCTCCGACAGAGAGGAATCACTTTCATCAGACCTACAATCAACAGTGGTGGAATTGTGAGGAGAAAGAATATAGGTATCAGCAAAGTAAAGCCTCCATATGAGAAGAACAAACAACAGCATGGCCAATTCAGAAAAGCAATGCAAATCCACATACAGTATGCAGCATTGCTCAGGGTATACCTTAAACCCATGATAATATGGGAGTGGGGAGGAAGCAGGAGCGGAATAATAATAATCTTAAAATAGCACCCTCAGCAGTAAGTTACACTGGTAGACTGTCTCAGCCCAAGAAGCTGAGAAACACCAGCCGAGTCATTTATTATTTCCCCAAAATTTTCTTACAGAAATAAAGGAAACAAAGTAAAAGGAGATGATTGCATAATTTAACCTCTGTAACATAATGCCTGTTGAAAATATTAAAAGGAGAAAGAATTTCTGAACATCAATGCCTGTTAAGTGTAGAAGAAACAAGTGTTAATCATAAAAATATAAATATTAAACATATTGATAACTCACTGAAATAAGAGCAGTAATTTGCAAATGATCCTAAGTTCAAAATCCTCCACCTCATTTTCAAAAACATTTAAAAATAAAAATCAAGAAAACACACAAGAAAGTCCCCCACCAAGACATTAGCATTTGCAGTATGTCTTACGATGTCCT